TCAACTCATATCATTTTGGGAAAATTCTACTACCAGTCCTTCATCACCTTACACGAAATAGGGTGAATGCATCTCATTAGACTGTGATAAGACCTAGAGATAGAGGACTGCGTAACAACAGGACAGACTCTGATCAGCATTGCCAACACAAGGGTGTGAAGAGTTCCCGTCAAATCGGCTCCTAAAGGTACACCATACCAGATTTAGACGGGCAAGCGAAAAGTGTGATAGCCAAGGTGTGATCTGAGGATATAGGATTGGTGATTGGCCCAGGGACAAGGAGAGATAGCTTCATTTGTCTCTTTGACGAGTTGTAGGATGGTGCTACGAATGACAAAACGTACGGGAATGTACCACATCCACTGCCCTGCTCTGGAAATAGACTGCGGACTAGGTGCGTTGCTCTAAGTCTTCTTACCAACATGACCAAAATGCGAAAAAAAGGTCAAACAACTTCTATCCAACGAAACGAGACTGCGATATTCTTCTTGCAACATTAGAAATATAAATCACTTCATACTTCAGTAAAGAGCCTTAATTCACGGTATACATACAGCATTTAGGGATGAACCGGTGAGTTTTTCCGATGCACTTGTGTGAATACGGTTTTCAGGATGATACCATCCACTCTGATGGTTTACGTTTTCACCGGAATCTAAGAAGATTGCCGTGGAAACAACTTCTACGAGAATGTTTTGGTGCAGCCAATCAACAGCCGGTAAAGAAGAATCCGCTTCCGGTCGTCTTCTGGTTGGATCGAACTTCAACTCTCTTCACCAACACACTTTCCTTCCAAGTAATCATGAAACGAGAGTGTCCTCAATACCAAACTTAGCAAACCTCAAGACTGCCCTCTCGCCCATTTCTGTGTGACTTCTACGAGGCTGCCTCTTGACGAGAGAGAGAGAGAGAGAGGGGCTCAGCGGAACTCAAGTAAATTTGGTCGAAATGAATCATCCAAAGTGGCGTCCGGAATGCCCGGATCTGGTTGGCCTTCTCGACTCGGCCCGATCAGCTCTCCGGCCTCAGACGTGATGATGCCCAACATCACCACAAAGCATGACTCCAACTTACTCTCCAAAGCGATCAAGTAGCTCTCGACAGAGTTCACGTAGTCAATGTACTTCTCCAATGGCAGCTTCCCCAACTGAGCAGGCTTGACTTTGAGAGCGGGCAGAAATATCTTCTCCATTACCTCGTGCATGGAGTCGAGCCTGTTCGTCGTCCGTTGGAACATAAGGCTGCACAATTCCTGAAAAAAAAGCACAAATAACCGTCGATCAGCATGATTCAACGTACTAATAAACAAGCTCATCAAATAGGCTGTGTGGTCGTTGTTTTTTTTAGTTAAAGGCTACATCAAATTTGCAAATGTCCCACTACTTGGCCTTAGTGAGTAGTATCAGTCAAACCGAGGCAGTTGGCAGAACGGAGCCAGTTTGATTGGTCTCGACAGTGGCTCGCTTCACTTCACCTCCGCCGGGAGTCAAAAGGAGAAGGAGCACACACACACACACACACACATGCTCATGCTCATCAACGGTTCGAGTCCCACCGCTCGAGTCGGTCGCGGAGGCGGAAGCGCAATGACCGGCTGAGTCGACCGCCTGCACGGCCACCGACCTGCCACATTAACGGGACGGAAGTCTTCCAGCGGGCGCCAAGCAACCCCTTTTCACATACAAAATCACATACAGACACACATGCACACACGCAAACAGAGACGAACAAATGCAACGCATACACAAAATCGGGCAAAGACAAGACAAAATGGACTGTCTCGGTAACACAGCAGCACGAACGATACGGTAAAGAGGGTTTTGTCGCACAGACGCGCTACTGGCATGGATGGATGGATGGATGGATGGATGTGCCCACTTTTCCCATCCTGTATCACGTCGAGTCAACCGGATCGTAGACTTGATTGGTCACAGCGAAACTGCCTGGTCAGCCATGATATTACTCACTGTCTTACTAGTAGTATATTTTCGATTCGAGTAGTTTTTGCGATTATCACTAATTGTTGACTAATAATTTGGACATGTGGGATAGCTGAAAGTAGAGACACCAGCTGAATTTCCTTTGATCTGAAAATGGGTTTCCTTTGTCTTTGCAACTTGCTCGAGTAGCCAAAACGTCCTCGAGCGAGGCCATGCTGATTTGAAGCCTCCGGCCGTGGATTAGGCCAAACTTGTATGTCTCCCAAGAAGTATTCACTTTCCAACTCTCGACTAGACGACAACTTGCACACGGCTTGAGCTCGTCTGTTCAGCGCCCTCCGAAAGGCGCTCGAGTCCAATTCGTGGGCATGACTGTCGCGCAAAGTGGTCGCGAGTGGTCGTGTCGGTGGTCAGGCCTCGAACAGGCTGCCTCGTCGGTACAGCCTCGGTTTGGGTGGCCGTGTCCTCCTCTTGACGGTCAACATTTCGTCGGCCGTCCATACCAAGACGGAACGCCTGAGGCGACTGGTTTGAGGGCCGTTGTAGGGCACGCAAGAAGCGGTTTCGAAGCAAGCATCGCGGTCAGACGTGGCGATGCTGTCTTCTTTTGCCTCGCTTGCCAACCAGTCGCAGGTGAGTCGAGAATGCGACTCGGCCAGACTCGAGAGTGCCGTGGAGACAGTCGATATGCCCAAATCGGCTGATCTCGCCTGCTTTGACGGGACCGGGATTCGAGCTTACGCCGTCTCGATCAGACGGCAATTTAGGTCGAGGCCATTACCGAAATGGGCCTTCCAACTAGCCTCAGGTCAGCAGCTATCATAAAAAGCCGTAAAAAAGCGTAAATGGTGCAAAAAGGAGGCGATAATTCTACGTGAAATAGCAGAAATGGCCTCCTTACCTAACAGACTTGAGGCCTCAAACTCAAAGTATGCATAAAGTCATTCCGAGGTTTCCAAATAATGCTAAAAAGCTGAAAGAAAGGATAAAGCCATGAGCAGAAGTTTTGGTATCCTCCAACATTGGGACACGTGAGTGTATTCTTTTGTGCAATTTGAGTAGTGTATTGCCAGTAGTACTACCCTTTCTATAGGGACATCAGGTGCAAATGTTTAACAGAAAATCAGAAAATAAATTCAAAAGACCTGTATTAAATTGTTCTGCTTGGTCGTATTTCATAAGGAAAATTTGTTAAACGTATACGCAAATTATATTATACATCCTTTTGCCAAAGATGTTGGCATTCTGCAGAAATGTGACAAAATCTCCACTTTTAGCATCCCTGCATCCCTGAGCTTAAATATAATCGGCTTCAGTATTCGAGCAAAGACTGATCTCCTTAAGAATGTTTAGGCTTCTAAAGGCCAGATTTATTTTGTTCAGGTCGGCTCTTAGCAACGCAGCCTAGCCAAATTCATATTTACTAAGTATTGCGAGTCTCGAGGCCTACTTATAATGAAAATAAGTAGCATCACCGATTGTAATAGTAAACCCATTTGTCTCCTCGTCGACCCTCTTATAAAAGTGGGATTTGCGTGAAGCCTGGGCTGCCATGAAGGACACTTCTGCTATATATATATATAT